GCAGGGCAGCTGTGCTTGCCTAGACATTTTTGTCTAGCAAAGTTGCTAGTACTGCAGTGACCCAAGTCACTGGGATGCCTGCTGTTTTGTTCTCTGTCCCTGGGCCACCGTTTTAGAGTATTGAAGATCAGTTCAGAGGGGCTGCATCTCCCATGCTGCACATGAGCAAGGAATGGGCTCTCTGAGCATTTTTGGATGCAGCCCTTGATAACCCTGCTAACACCACACAACAGTTTGCTGCGTGCATGATCTTTTCAGCAGCCCTGGCAACAAGTAGGGGGCTGTCATGGGTCGAACACTGCCATCACACACTGGCATCACCAAGACAGATGGAGATGAGCAGAGGTTGGTCTCCCACTGCGCCATCCTCCACACACACGCACACGTTTGACACACAAAATTCCCAAATCAGGATGAACATTGAGAAAACAGGCGGGCACATGGGACCAAAGCTGGGAGAGCAGCAAAGGGCAGTATGACTGATGAGACGATTAGCAGGATTTGTACTATGCAAAGCACTGTGCTGCTACTGGCTGTCCTGCCATGCCCCTGCTGACCCAGCCTCATCCCATGACCCGCACCGATACACTCAAGTGCAGCAATGCACCCTCCAGTCGGCCCATCAGAGGCCAAGGCCAACTCTTCAGGCTCACACAGAGCCCACCAGAGCTTGCACAGAAAGAAGTGTCAGTGAAATGCTGCTTCAGGCTTCCTTCCTTCCTGCCTGCCCTCGCAACACAGCTACAGAGCAAGAAGCTAGGCCTGAATTTTGAATGCTCTGGGGCCTGGGGACCTGAGTATGGACCTTGGCTTTCTTCACTGGAAGGGCAGGAGTTGTTGCAGGAATTAGATCTCGACAGAACTGGGAATGCCTGGGAGTTTGGTTAAGTGTCTCCCTTGCGCACAGTTTATTTGGAAGAAAGAAATTGCTTGACATTCAGCTCTTTCACATCCATCCTCCTTCCTTAGGTTAGGGCTCTCTATATAATGCGCTAGACTGCTCTGGCAGTTAGTAGTTATTGTGTAACAGGAAAAATGCACTTAGAAAAGAACATTTTTGATTTTAAGACAAAACTTCAAGGACAGGGAGGGAAGCCTTAGGACTGCAGCTGATGTGAGGATACCTTTGAATGACGTAAGCATCTCTGCCAGCTTTTGCTAACTGCCAACAGAGAAGTATCCTAGAAAGCAGTTTGGAAGTGAAGCAAAAGAAGGTTCTGGAAATTGAGCTGAGACACATCTGCTCCCTATTTGTTACCTTTACCTATGAACTACATTCCTGTCATCACCTCCCCATGAGACAGGAGGGGGTCTTACCCTCCAACTCTCCAGGTACAGGAAGAGCAGCAACTTGCCTAGAGATACACACCTCTGTAACAGTTTGTTAGAAGCCTACATGACAGCTCAGGGAATCCACTCATCGCTGCTCTCTCTGTGATTACAGAACCATAACCTTTGAGACAGCTACTAAGCAGGTAGCACAAGCTGACCTGCAACAACACTTGTCCTGGCACACATTTCCAGAGATACTGCAAGAAGCAATAGTGGCTCCTTGGTGCACACAGCTCCTATCCCTCCAGTACAACCACACCAAGGTCCAAAACAGCTATCAAAAAGCTGCCTCTTTTAGATTTTTTTTTTTTTTTTAAGGAAGAAAGATGCAGGAAGTCAGCTCAGGAGAAGGAAAAAGGAGGGGAGGGGGCAGAGAGAAAAACAAAGCACAAACTCTCTGATTTCCCAAGAAGTAGTGGTATCAAGCCTAGCAAGCCTACAGCACCAGTAAATACATCCTACCAACCTTAACACCACTCTTCAGCTCACTGAAGTTCTTCAGAGCTTCTTTCAGAAGCCTCCCCACAGCCCCATTACCTTACCTGCACAAGGCACTCACTCCCACACCACCTTTCCTGCTTTGCCAGGGATCTTCCAGTGTTGTTACAAAAGACACTAAACAAGCCTCCATCAGCTGGAACTAGCTGACACAACTCTAGTAGGTTCTCTGGAAGTGAGCTAATTTATAGCAGCTGAAGGTCTGGTCTGGCCCACTTGTTTCTGTAGTTGCCCAGAGGAGCTCTAATTGCACCCTTCTAGTGCTTGTTGGTAATGTGCATGAAAGAGCAGAGCATTTATGTGTGCATCTCTTGAGATCTGTAACAGATCTGAGCAGCTTGTTGGAAGAACCATAGTTTAGAGTCCATTACCCAGTTGGTAAGAAGGAAGGAGAGACTATTCTTTTAGAGGGGTGAGGAAAGAAGAACTTGAATTTCATGTACTTAATAATTGGAGATCTCTGAGCTGAAGTATAGGTGACCTCACTCACCCTGGGAAAGTGTCATTGAACAAATGTGCTTCAAGACCCTGTTGTCTTTTGTGTTAATTCCAAACCTGTGGTAGGGAGATGATAATATTTTGCGTTGTTACAGAATCCCCAGAAATGCTCAAACACTGGTGTTTACCAGGACCCGTCACTGCCCAGCTCAGTGGTTTGCAGACTGTAACTGATGTGCAACCAACTACTGTGAAAGTGCTCTCTATTGCTAGTGGCCAAGGAGGCTGGCAGAGTAAAGGACCATGATTTCACAGCACAAAACTTTCTCAGTGTTGGGGTCAGTGGCATCTGAGAAACCCTCACATGAGGAGTCAGAGATTAAATCTCCTAATTTGTTTATTTTTCTTCCTCCCACCAAACTTTTTGGTACACTTCTTGGCTTTTGAAGTCATTAGAAATATGAATTAAAGTACCTAACATCATCTGTAACCAGTAAGACCTCATTTTAAAATGTTGCTTCCTGATTTCAGACAAAGAAATATTTGTGTAGGCCAGGGTGAAACCGGTTAAGCAAGAAAAAAAGAGGCAGATTGAAAGACAGCGAGAGAATCTCCAATGAAATGCAAGCATGGTGTGATTAATAAACGAAGGCCACCAGATGTCTGTGGGAAAGGACTACTGCTGCATGTAGTAATTTTGGGTGAGAATGACAGCTGCATCATTTGTTCTTGAAAAGAAAAGGCAGCACAATAGCTGCTTTCTAGCTGGCACATAGTGGTTTAGTTAGCTCTATTGTACCATTTGGGATGGTGAGGCCATTCAAATAGCCGGTTAGGGTTTTATATTTTCACACAATTACAATGTTTTGTCTCTAGCTGCAGAGGTGTTGGAGAAGGTGTTTGAGGCTGAGGAGGTGATCTCTTTCACTGCAGATCAGTAAAGATGCCACTTTACCTTCTCCACTAGGGCACTTGCATCACTGAGGGTGTTCTGCTGTGTGTAAAGCAGCAAGACAGGTACCCAACTGCTTGTCCACAGTTCAGGGACCAGCACCTTCATTCCAAAAGGACGAAAGGGGGCTGCCTAGCCCTGTAGAAGCAGAGTTTCCCCTGGCATTTCCACAGTGCAAAGTCTTTCTCCTGTCCTCATCGCAGTCATGCACTGCCATTGTATTGCTACCTGCTGCCACTCTGTCCCACATGCGGCTCCTCACGGTGGAGAGATGCTGTGAATGCTGCCAGGGGAAGAAGGTACAATTCTTTAAGCAGATAGAGGGCTACGAGTCCCATCAAAAGTCCATCACGTAGGATTCTTTATCTCCTTCAGGCCCATTGCAAATTCCAGTGTAAAAAAATAAACCTATGGCTGCTTGTGAACGGTGAAGGGCATCTTTCAATGGTATCCTAAGAAGACCTTAACATAAGATAGAAGGATTTTAAATGAAGTAGAAAATGATTGTAATAGCTTGACTTTAATGAGCCAAAAAACACTCCCTTGGCTGTGGACATTGTAATGAGTTAGAAATCTGAAGGAGGGAAGGCAGAGAAAGAGGATATTTCAGAAATGATGTTTTGTGGATTCAGCGAAGGAGGGCGGTGCGACAGAGCTCCCTTTGCTTTACTTCCAGCTGCAGGTGTCCTCTCTACTGACTTGCCAGCAGTTATGTTTCCAGGAATGAATTTCTGAAGCAGCTGCTCTTTTGATGTCAGGCAAAAAGGAAGGAACGTAAGAGGAAGAGAATGAAAGGAAATAAAGAAGGAAGTAAGATATCCTGAAAAGCAAATGCACTGTAGCCATTTCATATGCTCTGAGTCATGCAGTACAGAAGGCAAAGATATTAGAGCAACAGAAGTTTTGTATAGCAGCAATTCATGGTCCCAAGTCCTTGAAAAGATGGATTGGATCTGAGATTTGCATTTTGCTAAGGGATGGATATAGGGCTTACACACTGGCCCTCTATGAACCAAAAGTCTGGGTTGTGAAATTCTGGATTAAAAAAAAAAAAAAAAAACCTCACCAAGTGAGATGCTGGATTCAGCAAAACCTGATGTCTGATCTTCAACTCATGTAAATCAACCTTTCAGCTAGAAACTGTTCTACAGATGATCTATATCACTGTCTGAAACAACTGTGATGTGTAAACAGATCTACTTTGTCCATATGCAAAAAGACTCATGAACAAAGCTGCTCTTATAAACTTCCTATTTACAAGTTAGGTAGGACTTCATTCAAAGAAGTGATTTCATACAGAGAGCAAAAGAGATTACAGCGCTTGGTTTAATTTTCTTATGAGTACCTGCTTTTCATCACCTGGCTGTGTGCAGTGAACATTGCTAACAAGTTTGCAAATTGGTACAACCCAAAATTCACTTAAGTCTGCAGAAATCCAGATTCAATCCTGCCCTACAATAAATGCAATCAGAGGAAATATTTTAGACTTAATTTAATGTTTACCATGCTGAAATAACATGTACTCTTCTTCGTCTGTACACACTAAATCACTGAAAAGTCATTAGCACATGAGTTTTTTTTCTACCTATGTAATAAATCAGAACTCTGTGTGCATTTATGGCTCCCTCTGAAGTAGCCTGGGTCTGTATAGTTTGGTTCATATAGCTTGAGAAAAATACATTGGGACTGACCCGTATTCTGTTTCCCTAGTGCGGATAGAATAGGCTGAGTTTTGCAGTCTCTTACAACTATTTGTTTCTTTTTAAGCAGGTAAGAAGAACCCACCTGCTGAGGACACAGTCGTGCTAACACATATGAAGATATTGAGCAGTGAAGGAATTCAAAATCCAGGGTTAATCCCTGAGCCTCCAGATGAAACAGACTGCACAGAAAAATCCTCTCTCTCTGGCGTCAGCCTCCCACCGGACAGCCAGGGAAACCTGAATGCAGCAGCCACGCCAGCAAATCCGGATTATGCAGATACCCAGGCGAGCACAGACTATGTAGCCACACTGCCTGACCTCAGCACCTTTGAGCCCAAGTGTCGACTTCACAGATTTTCCAAATTTGAATCAGAGGACTCGGGGGTTGAACTGCCTAGTGGGGCTAATTCTCCATCAACGCCAACAGGTTCAGAGAAGAGCTTTGTGCTTCACAGCAGAGACTCATTTTGTGACTCTGGGGTGCTTAGCACCTCTTCTTCTCCAGAGATTGACCATCTGATAATGCGAACATGTAAAGAGCGGGTCAGAAAAGCTAGTCACCATGGCCCAGAGAGTGAAAAGCAAGCTGAGTACTGCAGCCAGGAGGTAGATGCTGTGCACGTCCCTACAACTTCCCCTGAAGACTTCTGTGTTCCTCAGGAAGGAGGAAGTCCCAAACAGCATTTTGACCAAAGTGAAAGGCAATCTCTGGAAAAACAACCTACCCAAGAAACGGACCTTCCCAGGGAAAACACACTTTCTAACCCAGCAACTTCAGAAGAGACAAAGACAATCGCTGAGCATTACCCGGAGACCTTTGGCAGTGTGCAAGACCTTCAGGTCTGTGAACATCAGCTGAAAAAGTACCCCACAAGTGACAGTCTGGATGAATACATGGATGAATGCTGTAGACTGAGCGAGGTAAGAAAGACATGTAAACTGTATCTTATAGTTCTCCAAATAACTCATTCAGGTTCTATTGTCTGTCAGCAAATTAGGACACAATGAGTTATCCAGAAAATCTCACTTGATGCTGTACTGATCAGCAAATGGTTGTAATTGATTTTAAGAGCTCTTTTCATGGCAGTGAAATTCTGAAGTAATTTACATTTATTTGTGCTGGACAAGGTTGACTAACAACTCATGAAGATCTGATGATTCATAGAGCCCTAGATTAGTGGATGTAATGACTTCTGCTATTAAACACAAAAGTTGTCAAGTTAGACCCTGTAGATGGCCCTACATCTTGTAGGGTTGCACCACCTCTGATACATGGGATAGGGATCAGAATGTAGTGCCTTTTTGTAAGGCCAAGTTATTTCTATTCCTGGAAATAGTTGGATGGTTGTTGGAAGAAGTTTGGAAGAACTTGTCTACGGGCTACCTGATTCCTGTTCCTGCCTGTAGTTGGCTCAATGGCCTCAATCTTGAATAGTGGATAAGAGGGAATTTATAGGCAAACTCCTATCTTTGGTGAGCTGGAGCTCCCACTTTAAATCACCCTCACAACTGGATGGAAACCTCTATATTTTGAGGCTGACAAGCAGAGGCCTTGCATATCTGCAAAGACATATCATTTTCAACAGCTTGTCCTACTCTGTTTCTCCATTGCTCGGTGTACTGTGCAGCTGCTGAATCTGCCATGCAGCTACAGAATCACTTCAATCACTGACAGGCAAATAAAAAGCCCGTCTGTACACCTGCTCCCACACTGAATGCTGGCAAACGCTCACTCCAGTATTTGCCCAAAGCCCCACACTGACTTGCTGACAGATTGCTTCAGTTGCCTACCTGCTGCAGTAGCTTCCAAGAACCAGAGATGAAAAGATCTAGTAGGGAAATTAATTCTTGAGAGAGAGAGACAAGCAGACAGACCAAAGAGCCTCATGAACAAGGGGAAAGGATGAGGCAGGCTAGAGCTGTCACACAGGCACATGAAGCACATTGAGCTAGGCATAAGGGGCAGTTGTTTTCCATAGATCAGTGTGCTGCTTTACTCTTTATTGCTCATCCTTCTAGTCATCACAGCAGAGGGGACTACCACTCCCAGAGGCCAGAAAGATAAGTGTATTGAAGCCTTGTACCTTAAATACATTTATTTAAGCATCCTATTTACTCCTTGTTTTAGGAAAAATTATAGGAAAATTACCTCTTAAAGAGGTACTTCTGGTAATATTGCCTGAGTTTTGGTTGACCTGTGAGTTCTGGTGGCTCAACATGAAATGTGCTATGGGGAGGAGTTACCAGAAAATGCTGGTCCCCAAGAAGCAGGGCGCTTCAAAGACGCCACAGAGGGAGTCACCTCAAGTCACTAATCAAGTCTGGGGAAGAGCAGCTTGAAGTTACCAGTTCTTGGGGCTGTTTTGCCATCACTTCCCACTCAGGCCTTCATTGCTGTGATAGTGATAAATTAGGTTGGGAGCCAGGGAGGAAGCAAAGTGACAAGTGCTGTGTGCTGTCCGTAAAATAAACATGCTTCACCATGACCGTTGCATCCGGCCATGAGCCACCAAGTGACGGCCTTCCCCTCCAGCACACCAAACCCTCCCGAGCAGCAAGGAAGGTCAAAGACAGACCCTGCAAGTCAGGCCCATCTCTGTTAACATTATATATCTAGGCAGGATCGTCTATCTAGGATCCCTGTGTGATCAATCAGAGCCGTCTTGCACATGCCAGAAGACAGACGTGTTGGACAGTGGGTCCCTTTTGGCAGATAGTTGGGAAAAAGGCTGAAGCAAGACAGTTTGGACAAGGAGACTTTATAAGACATTACCTAAATTCCCGGTTGCACTCTGGGGGGTTTGCAGCCAGACTGACCTTGCCTGGCAGCCCTGGCGGCCCATAACATTCCTTTAAATCCTTTGTGAAATGGAGCCTCAGTTTCCCAAAGCAAAACATTTAAATAAACAAGAGGATAAATTAGAAAGAAGCTGAAGAGGAAATGAAGCTCCCAGTTGCTTATCTCCCCTCCTTTTTAATATCCTCACTGGCTGAGTGCTAAAGCTCTGTGCCCTGGAGCACTTTTCTTTGTTTGTTTTTTCGAGCTGTATAAATACAGCTGGGGCCTGGACACTGGGGAAGTCTGCCCCTTTAACAAAGCCTATATGTCAAGAGCAGCACTTTTCAAGCTGCTGTGAAGCCAGTTAATGCCCAGGCTGGCTTCAGGAACAAGCTCGCATGGCTGTCGCACAGCCTTGTGGCTGCTCCAGCCTACGTGCCAGAGAGGACCAGCTACTGCTTGTTGCAGTCCCATAACCTTGTCCCCTTGCTGAACCTACACAAGTGTCCTCAACGTCACACAGCAGTGGCAGAAAGGTATGCAGTCATTTCAGAAACCATGGCCCAGACCTCTAGCCCTACCGCTGAGGGATACATCTCGGTTCACCATGGCCGAGGTGGTGTTCCGTGCTTATGTTGTGGCTTTAACATTTTCCTGGAACCTGTCCTAGCTACAATGTGGTCCTTAGGAGCTACGCTCTTGTCGGACCTCATGTGGTCTCAAGGATTCAGATAGCCCCTGAAATACACTCAAATGTTGTTCAAAAGACACAGACCAATCCAGCATATTCCCACTCTGTTTGTGCAGCATGGCCAGCCAAGCTGAGCCATCAAATTAATTCCTGTTACATTAAAGTCATGTGCCAAAGTAGGCACTCTTGTAACTCTAATGCCAGGATAAGCTTATTATGGCTGATAGCAGTTTCCTCAGTTCCGTTGTTATCTTTGGAAGTACAACTTCTAAATATCAAGAGGACACATGGGTTTCCCAGCCCAGCTGACTGGGGTGCAGTTGCCACCGTGGTACTTGCTGATGCTCTGGCAGCCGAGGGGGGTTCAGTCACTGGATGAGGACAGACCTTGACGCCTTCACCAACAAGCCCATGTCCTAGACACCAGGAGTCTGTTAAAATTAAAAGCTGGAAAAGAGAGTCTGCAAAGACTAAATGTTTGGACAATCTGGATTCATTTGGTGAAGGCTTTGGCTGAAAACACACATCACCTCATTTCAGTCTGGCATTTCTTAAAACAAAACTTTCTGATCTTTTGTTTTGAACTGGCATTATTTTGAAATTTACCTATAGTTAAAAAGATGAAAGTAAGTGGAAGCTTTTAACACATGAAAGAACTTTGAAGCCAAAATAGAAGCATTTCCTTTTAAACTATATTAAATGTTTTGGGTCAGTTTGAAAATATATACTTTTTGATGCTTTTTCTTTGCTCTATAAAGTTTACATTTAATCCAAGCTCCAAACTTCTAAAATAAAAGAGAGGGCAGAAGCAGCATCACCATCAGATGAAAAAACTCATTATTCACATAGCGCTAATTACCTTTGGCCAACACAGTCAAAATACTTTTCTACAGAGTGCAGGGTTTGGGGGAAAGAACATGGCAACCTGTGACGCTGTGCCTGTGCCCTGTGCGTGCTGCTCAGAGGAAACTGGAAGTTATCAGCCAGCACGGCCATTCCTGGACAGCAGGGTGGAGCAGAAATTCAGAAACACGCAGCACGATCCCTCTCTTTCCTGTTATTCACAAGACTTTTGGTGCTGTCAGCCCCCACTGAAAAATGTTTCCCCCTCAGCCCATGATGTCACTGATCAGTTATGCTAAGCCCATGATGCGTGGTGTGTAATTACGTCCCTCGGTTGCTGGCACGGTTATCACGCTGCCTCCTCCCTGGCTGTGCTATAAGGCAGCAGGAACGAGCAGCGAGGGATGTATTTGTGAATGGAGCAGTGCATAACTCAACACTATCCACAAGAGAGTGAAAAACATGACAATAAGTGCAGAAATCTTAGTCATTGCGAAGAATACGGGAGAGCTGTAGTCCGGACAAAGCATAGCTTTTCTTCCAAGCTAATTCTGCCTGCTATCCTTGGCTTTTGCTCCCACATCCAGCAGTTTTCTAGTGAGCCCAACAGAAGAAGAGTCCATCACACGCATCAAAGTAATTGCTTACAATTTAAATCAGGCAAGACAGAATGCCCAATAGATGATAAGAAATGCAGATTTTGATTTTTTGATTTTGATTATACCTCAGTTGGCCAACAGACCTGAAAATGACTGTCCTTGCATCTCCCACTGAACTTTGAACCTTTGTGTATTGGATATACAAGATATTGGAGCCAACACTGTTATACACACACAGGTACGGAGGGGTAGATTCCCAGGTCTGGAACCCTGGTGATTTCAGAGAAAAACATGATTTTACACCAGTCAAAATATTGACAAAAGGGCTCTAGATAAGAGCTGAATTCCTAGTGCAGATGCTAGTCCTGCATTTTCAGGCTTCCTAAGAAACCAATGGGCCAGCAAAACTGCTTATTTATTGCTATCTGAACAGGGGTACATGCACTGAAAATCTGTCCCCAAAACTTGATCAGGTCTCACGCAGGCAGAGATCTTGGTTACACTGATGTAAAAGCAGCTTAGTGCCCCTTAACCGCAGAGGCACAAAACTTCAGTGACACAGAACAGCACAGCAGAGGTGCAGACCCTGGCCTCTGAGACTGAGGGTCTTGTTCAGTATCAGGTATCTGATAACAAAATCTGCCAGCTGTTTGTACACCAAGTTTTATCAGACTGTAAGTTTAACAGTCTATTCTAAAATTGCATCTGTTTGATCCTCTGTATCCACACCTTCAATGAGTGAGATGTTTTTCCTGCATGGTTGGTAACATCAGCTCAAAATGGGTACATGGCTTTTGTTTCACTCTATTCAACTATCTTCTAGAGAGAACTATGAAGTTCTCTCTAACTTTTGATAGATTTCCCTCATGCCCGCCCAAATCATGACTTTGCTTCCAAGAGCCTTCAGCCCTAGGCACAGACTATGAGAAATCAGAGCTACCTTCTGTTCTCCTCCATCTGCCTTTTTCATCCTATAAACCTAGCAGCCTTGAATATCAACTAGCATCTTAGAGTAATAGGTGCCAGACAAACATGAAACAGAAAGACAGTTCCTGCATCAAAAAAGTCAGTCAAATGCTTCATGTTCTCCCCCCATTCCTGAGATTATAACCAAATATTTAATGCATCTGTTTTTACAAGAACTCACCACCCTTGTGCTCTTTTCTTGTGTTTCCACAGCTCTGCAAGGGCTGGGTTGGTCTCTCTACAGGGCAGTATAGACCTGCTAGCTGTCAGTGGCTGCAACAGCAAACTGACATAACAGCAATTTGCTAAATGCACAAAATGAGGGAATGAAGTCACAGAAAGCCTACATTTTCAAGGAGAACGAGGACATTCTGACTGCCTATTTTGCGATAGTTTAGAAAGGCCTGATTTTCAGAAGCTGATAATCAGGTACGTTCTGAAAATCATGTTTCTGAAGCTGGACACACTAAAATTACTAGCTGCTTTTGGACGTGTCAGCTGTAGCGCACAAATCCCAGCTCTTCCCAGGAAGCAGCACTTGGACTCTGCTCTCCCAGGAGGAAAAACATGAATGTGAATGACTGATTGGCTTGGAGTCATCGTAGTTTTTCATGATTTCATGCGACCTATGTCCCAACATCAGGCACAAAAGCATCTGGACATAATAATACCTATTAATAACATTTTATCATCATTTGTTTGAAAAGAAGTAAATCCAAATGTTGATTATTTTTGAACACACCATGAGCTTTCTGACATAATGAAAAGACAGGAAGAGTCCCAAAGCTGGCATTTCCCCAAAAATGTCGATTGTTGTGGGAAAGGAGACAGAGTAAGCTTCCTGCTTTTGTAGAGGGAAATTATTTTTTAAAGTAAGATAAACTTAGAGCACTGCTTTGTAAAGATCTAGGTTTATTTTACTTACTGATATCACATGCACATCAGCAGGCAGTGCCAAGGTGGAAGTGAGACTCTGCGTGTATTTTTTAGCTGGGTGTTTGACCGAGTCCATTCACAGGGCAGAGAGGAGCATATGTGTAACGTGCATGGGAACATCCTGGGGTCAGAAACTGTGAGGTGCAGAGCAGGAGATGGGAAATGTGTTGCCACAGTGGCAAGACTCTGTAGGACCTGGACGGGGGGAGATCAGCGGTACGGTCTGGTCGTAACCCAAGTTATTTTGCTGATACATAAACACTGGGGCACTTGTTCACAGGTAGCACAAAGGCAGGAAAAAACTGCATCATCTCCTAGTGCCCAGTTCCCAAATAGCTACTGTTTCTTGAGCACAACCTCCAAGCAGATGGATAAAGCTGAGCAGAGCTTTTTCAAATGAGCAACACATGGTCTTAAAGAACCACTGCACAGCAAAAGACCTGATCTGCTCTATTACTCCTTCTGCTCCTTGGGCTAGGAGGTGGGACTGCAAGCAGTCTGTTTTTCCTTTGCTCCAGCTTGTGAGCAGGCAGAAGAGTCCTTCTGATAGAGCATCTAGCTGAGTGATTTCAGAAAAAAAAAGAAAGAAAGAAAAAAAAAGCTGTGAGCAGAAAAGTTCCATCTCGGTTCTGGTTATAACCAACTTTTCTCATGAGAGGAAGCTTTGGTGGCTTTAAATATAGCTCATGTAAGGGGCAGGCTGGGCTTCAGCTACTAATGAGGATTGCTCTGCTCTTGCCTTGTGGTCTAAGCTTTACTATCATTGCAGGTGAACCAGGGGAACAGCAAAGCCCTGGGATCTGGCCTGGGATACTTGGAGCACATTTGCCAACTGATTGAAAAGATTGGGCAGCTACAGGAGCACAATTTGCGGCTCCAAAAGCAGGTGTGCAGCTTGCAGAAAGAGCAGAAGATGAGCCAGATAAAGGAGGTAAGCAGGCATCATCATATTCCTTATTAAACGATACTCAAAACACAAGTGGAAAGGTCAAAGTGTTCCAGGTAGGAAAGATGAGAATTTACTTGACCCCATACTCACTTGGGCTGCCTGGTCTGGTGTTTAGGGAGCCCTCGTCCACCATAGCAGCCTCAGCCTCCCTTAGGGTGGGCTTATGTTTCTATTCTTATTCAATTTTGTTTCCCAAATGTTCTTGTTGCCACATGTTTACTTATGTCAAAAAGCACAAGAGAGATCATCTCTGCCTTCAACAGTTCTATTTTGAATTGAAGTCCATTTTGAGGCAAGTTGAAAGCTCTTTCTTCTGCTTTCAAGCTATCAAAATCCCAGAATTCCCAGAAAACAAACCCAACAGGGGACAGAAGCTGCGGTACAACTAGCCAGTCCTCATTTCTCTTTCCCCTACGGTCTTTCCAAAGTGAGCTGCCAAATGAAAAATCTCCAAAACGAAACATATCTGTGTGCTCATTTGCCTTTTTTTCCTCTCTTTTTTTTTTTTTAAAAATTAAATCAGACAGTGCTTTCACACAGACAGTGTGAAATTTGACTCAAACTTATAATTCATTTCAGTCTCCTTTCAAATAGCATTTTTAGCCCTCCATGTTTTGCTCAATTCTACCCAGCCTGTGTTTTTCAGGTCCTTTTCTTTGGCTGCCACCACAGGTTTCCAGCTCTTTGCTTCCCCTCCCTCTCTCCTGTCTACTTTTTATTTATTTTATCACCCCCCAAAGGAATAGGTTTGTCACACTCAGCTGTTTCTTCTCAACCATGCTGTGGCAAGGCTTTTATTTTCCCGACAGCATCATTCCCCCCAGCCAGTGCTGCTCTCCCACCTGCTGGGACTGGATCTGCAGTAGGTGACTGACTCCTTCTCAGAGCCAAAGCCAAGTTGTGAGTCAGGTTGCAAAACAGCAGAGCCTGTCATTTCCATGTACCCATCTCTCACACTCAGAGGAATGCAGCCTCCTACATAGAGCCTGGGAATTGTTAACACATTTCCTGAAACTCAACAACTGTGAGTCATTGCTCAAAGCAACTCTTCTACACTGCAATTTCAGGGTCAAATCCTCATCTGGTATATGTGCCCCCCTCTTCCTTGGCTCCCACTGAAATGAAAGGCATTGGGCCTTCATCTAAGTATTTAAAACTTTGATCTTCCTGGAATTTTTCAAGATGTGTCAGCAGAGCCTTTTCAGCCGCATGTCTCACACTCTTCAGTGGGGACTCCTAGCCCAGGCCATTACATTCAGCACTCAGGACTTCCAGTGCACTCTGTGAACAGGGCGCTCTCTCTCGGGCATTGCTGTGGTGCCTGTATCTCCTGTATGAGAGCAGCTTTCTCTCATTCTCCTCTTTAGTCTCACCACCCCTCCCTGTACAAGAGAAATGCTGCTCTCCCCATCTGCTGAGAGATATGGAGGGTACTGTCCCCTTTGCTAAGGCTCTTTCCAGACTGCATGCACTAAGTAGACTGTGAGCATGGAAAGATTTCCATGTCCCAGACACAGCTTGGGAACACACAGAGTGAGGAAGGCTTAGGGCGCCGTTAAGAGCTGGTTCTGAGATCACCGCACGTGCACGTATAGGGGTGGCAGGTGGCCCATGCTCTCAGCATGGCTTGTCGGAGTACTACAGATGTCCCCATGAGGAATGGTAACATTTCTACAAGCACTCAGGTAATACAGGTTCTTGAAATCGACAGAGCTGACTGACTATACTGACTGACTCTATATGGCCCCAGGCAGTTCACACCACAAGAAGCTGAGCACACACCATAACTCACAGGACTGGCCTTGCTCAAGCGAGATGACTAAAAACCTTGAATATTTGGGAAGCCTTCTTTTATTATAATTTTTCTAGGCAAGTCTTCTCAGAGAAGTATTTAATCTTTGGCAAAATGCAGTGCTATTGCAGAGCACTACTTTTGGCAACGGCACGTAGATTCCCCACCTCACACCAAAAGTGGGAGACATCTATTTGCCTGCACTGCCTTTGCTGTGAATCTCATCCTTTTAATGGCCTCTTCCACGCTTAAAAAGAGACTAACACAGAAGGTGTTGATGGACGTGGTGCTGATCCTGGGACACATGAGGTCATGGTTATTGCATATCCACTGCCTTGCAAGGAAATCTTCACTGACTTGGGCCAAAATTTATCACCTGTCATCAGATTTTCAAAGCACCTCCAAAGCTATAGGTACTGCAAAGTCAGTTGTTCGTGAGTCTCCAAAGGTGCTAAACTGGTGTTTGCTTGCCATGGCTCCAACACCAATGAGTTTGATTTCCTTTCCACTTCCACTGAATAAGCCTTGCTCGTTCCCTGCCTTCCTAAACTCTGGTGCGAGGTAGAAAACTGCCCTCTAACATCATGCCAGTTACAGAAGTAAGTCGTCATGTACTCAGATAAGAGCACTACTCTTTAATAAGCCCTAAAGAATGGAAAGATTTTATAAAATTTAAGAGCTTCATTCAATTCCAAAAGCCCTTACACTGACAGAGGGAACATCACTGCTTTGGCAAACAACTGAAGTACCACATACAGTGCCTCTGTTTGACAGCATATAAGCAGACTGTGGTATCCTGTCAATAAAAATACAAAATACTATTGTCTGTGCACTTTCCTAAACAAATAATATTATCTTAAAATATGAGTCACTCTTATAATAGTTTTGTTTATTTACACAGATGCCTCAGTTGAGCAGCTGTGTGTTTAGAAACTTGTATTCAACTCCTTCTGAGGAACAAATCCAAAAGATGCAAAATATCAGGCAATTTAATTTAAATACCTAGGGGTTTTTAGTGGGTCACCGATACATATCGCTGTTCTCTGTGGTTCAGCTTCCCCGCTGTTAGCAGGAACCACAGGCCTCAGAGCACCCCATATAGTCTCCACCCTTTAGGGACCACCTGGCTTGTTGCAGAACCCCAAATATATGAAATCTTAACGCCCCCCTCCCCTCCGCCCCCCGCCAAAGACTGTTATAACTTAGTTATAAGTGGCCAACACAAACTAACATCTTCCAGTTGAGATCACTGGAGCTACTCCTCTTTCTACACACCAAGGACCTCAGTGTCCGAAGTTGGGCACTTACAAAAAGCACCGTCCCTACCCAGAAGGGGACAGGAACCAGAACAATTCATATTTGCAGTAGTGGGTTTAGCAGCTGAGAAATGAAGCCCGTTCTTTTGAATTTTGGGTGTTACTACAGCAATGCTGAAATTACTGCTCGAGTGGAACTATAGCACTTGGATTTCATAAATGGCATTCATTCATGTTTGGGTCACCCCATTAGAAAGAAACTGCTCATTTGTCAGATTCAGTTCGAGTTGAAACGCTTCTGATGTTTGGGCCCACTTGCACACAGATCTGCTTCTGGCTCGTTTCTGTTCAAAATACATCATTTGGAAACATTAGTGCCAGATTCTCAGTTGCTCTCAGAAGTTGGACAGTCATTGATTTTTCTGACATCAGCAGAGCTCCAGAATATCACTATTAGAAATATGTGATCGGCAGAGAATTCACACAGGCTCAAGGCCACATGGAGCTCAGCTTGTTAAAATGTTTTCCTCCGTTGAACAGCTATCACATGGGTAAACAGGAAACTGCTTTACTATATTCCTGGTCTAGCTTTATAGCTTTAAGAAAACTCTTCTGATGCTGAAACTCAACCTTTGGATTTTGCTTAAAAAACCTAAAATGAGTCAATGGAAACATCTACGTTACCACCTCCAGGCTGCTCAGCCATCTACAAAGTTAAATAATTTCTCTGGGTCCTGACAGGTCTTGGGATGGAGCTGGGCATCCATGGGCTGGAATGCTGGTAATCTTGCTGCACTATCATGCTGCTCTGTTACCTTGGGCTGCTGCAGCCTAACAGTCTGCATACTTTCTTCTTGTTTGGTGTAGGAGTACCTTCTGCAACATTGCTCCTGTGGAGCTGCCAGCGTCTTCCTCAACTCGTACCAAGAGGTGAAGCCTTTTTTTACTGGGAGGAGCAGACCTCACAGCCTCTTGATTCAGACTGGAAACCCTTCAGATCTTTCCATCATTCCAGAAATAGGAGGGAACACTGAAAAGCTGAGCAGCTGCAGTGGTGAGTTTAAATACCTCCAATCTGCCCTCATGCTTGTCACCAACAAGTGAAATAAGGTGACCAGCAACTTCCTTTTCCCTAGGAAAGACAGATGGAATCAAAGCAAGGTGTTAGCTTCCCAGTGAAGGTTTAATTCCACTAAGAGATGTATTTTAAAATGCTTTGGTTATACTAGGATTTTAAAGGCTTGCTTCTCCACACATGTGAAGGAGGCCATTTGGCCTAGTGAAGAAGTGGTTACAGAGATTAAGACGAATGCCTTATCAAAAAAGTTTGTCTGGTGGAAACTTGGTGCGGCCAAATGAGTGGGTTAGCATAGCCTATCCATGGGACGTTGAGATCCCCCCACCAAGATACAATTTGTTCTAAGGTAGGATGCCTTAAGCCTATTAATAGTCTCCTACCATCTCAAGCAGGCAAGAAACACATTCCTGGAAGATGACTTATTCTATAGGCCAAGTGGAAATAAGTCCCAGCTGCAAAGCTTGGATCCAGAGACCAACTTTTCCAGAAGGTTGAGAAGGACTGAACTTAGCCTACTGATACTAAAGCCAGCTGAAGTGTCTGGATCCAAACTTAGATGTGAGCTAGCCCACTAAATGAGGCTGATTAGTTTATTTTGAACCTTGGATCTGGGCCTACCTCTAATACCTGGTGAAATGCACAGCAGTGTAACAAAGACAGACCATGAGGAAGCCATTAGAAAGTCTGCACTAGTCAGACACTATTTTGTCCTATTTGTACCAAGGCAAGGTAGAATCATAGAATGCTTAAGGTTGGAAGAGACCTCTCGAGGTCATCTAGTCCAACCCCCCTGCACACGCAGGGTCACCTAGAGCACATGGCACAGGACTGCATTCAAGTGGGTTTTGAAGATCTCCAGAGAAGGAGACTACAAAACCTCTCTGAGCAGCCTGTTCCAGTGCTCTGTCACCCTCACTGTTAAGAAATGTTTCCTTAAGTCCCTGTGGAACTTTTGGTCCTTCAGTTTGTCAGTTCTGTCGGTGGCCACCAGTGAAAAGAGGCCAGCACCATCCTCCTCACTCCCTCCCTTGAGGTACTTATAGACACTGATCAGATCCCCTCTCAGCCTTCTCTTCTCCAGGCTGAACAGGCCCAGCTCCCTCAGCCTCTCCTCATAGGGCAGGTGTTCCAGGCCCCTGATCATCCTTGTAGCCCTGCGCTGGACTCTCTCCAGCAGCTCCACATCCCTCTTGTCCTGTGGAGCCCAGAACTGGACACAGTACTCCAGAGGTGGCCTCACCAGGGCTGAGTAGAGGGGCAGGATCACCTCCCTTGACCTGCTGGAGACACTCTTCTTAATGCACCCCAGGACCCCATTGGCCTTCTTGGCCACGAGGGCACACTGCTGCCTCAGGGTCAACTTGTCGTCCACCATGACGCCCAGGTCCCTCTCTGCAGAGCTGCTCTCCAGAAGGTCGGTCCCCAGCCTGTACTGGTGTCTGGCTTCCTAAGTGCAGGACCTTGCACTTGTCTTTGTTGAATTTCATAAGATTTCTCACTGCCCAAACCAGAGTGCAGTGTGGAGACTTTCATCCCTAGAAGGTCTCATCCCATCTGAGGTCACAGCTTGCTGGTGGCACTGCCCAGAAGCCATCCTAGCAGGCCGCTGCCGAGAAATGTGAGCAAGCCCTTGCGTTTCATTGCAGGAAATGAGAGATACCTGGAATCAGGAAACAGCCAGCTGATGGCAGGGCTCAGGAAGTCGTCAAACAATAGGAGCAACAAGGAAAACGAGTTCAGAGAAGCCTGTGGCACAGCTGAGGGACAAGCTTTTCCATCAAAGGATGCCACAGTAAGAAAGGTGAGTGACAAGCTTAAAGCCAGACCCCTAGTGGGATCTGAAGAATAAGCAAGGAGATGTTCTGCTCAGGACAAAGCAGGGCTCCCAGGGGATCAAACTGGCCCTGTCTGCTCCCAAGCAAGGCAGGAGCAGCGAGGACAGGGGTTGCCTGTGCCTCCCTAGCCACCCTCAAATTAAAATGATTACTATATCCATATGATAAGAAAGGCAATACCATATCACGTGCTTGGCACAGTGGAAAACAGCATCACAAACAGCAGTATTTGCTTTATCCCTTGCTAACTTCAGGTAGCTGATGACTAAAGTATCTTCACTACTGCTGCTAGGGAGATTAAAGCCAAGGTACATTTATTAGCAACAGTGAACATCTTAGTGAGTTGTTCCTTAGCTGGGGCTACTTGTTACTAGACTGGACTGGCAGTGTGTCGGTGTAATTAACTTCAACCCCCAAAGCCTGTTTCAGAGAAACCCTATCACTGAAATCCATGGAAGCCAGGGCTAATGCTTTTCCTCTCCCTCTCTTTCCCATTGTTTGTGGCTGTTTCAGCATTTTCAGGTTCCTGTGGAGATGAGAAGTGCTGAAATACCAGGGCAGAGGCTGTAATCGGAGTATTCCCAGCCTTACAGGAAAGGGGAAGGAGTAGGTCTCTCACGGGAAAGACCTTCTCTTGAAATTTCCAAAGTTGCAAATGGGTAGCAAGTATTTGGATGAACTTCAGAGGCCTGACAAGGCCAAATCCTGAAAGGTGTTTTTTGTTCTGGCTTACATCCAGCAAAGTTCTTGAGTACGAACATTATTTTAAGCACATGGGAAGCCCTGGCAACTTCACATGGCTGCAAAATCAAAACTCCAAAGTCATAAACCGAAATCCTATTGCTGTCTTATTATACCACACCTTAATACTGTCTGTCCTTCACAATGTACTCAGAGCATGAACTATCCTATTTATTTTTACAACCATAGATACTGTATGAATATGTGGTAGGACTCACATAAGTGCTATATATGTAAACTGGCAATCTAAGTACAAAAGAGAGGCAATGGTGGTGGAAAGGGCATCATCATCCACATGTGGAAGACTGAACCAAAGAGGGATATAGGACTTGACCAAGGCAAAGCTGAGAACAGAGCCTAGTCTTTCCCCAACATTGCGAGGTGGTCTCATTTGCATGTTATTTATCAGTTTATTTTTTCATTTTTAGGGTCTGGACATCAGTAAGAACATCTCGGTATGTACCACCTTTGATGAATTAATTTCATTTATATATCTGCGTTGTAGTAGACCAAGCCCCTATATACATGTGCATTATTCACGAATAAAGAGGATCACTGACCCCCAGTGTATGTCAAAATACCAGCCCCACATATGCTGTTCTGATTGTGCCTGACTGTGTTTGACCCGCTGTTCTCACATCCCGAACGGCTAGCTGGCCTTCAGCAGCAAGCACTCGCTCAGGCTTTCTGTATTAACAGTGCTTGCACTGTTCTTAGTAATAAACACAAGGGTTTGATATTTTCATGAGTAAACAGTCTCATTAGGAGCAATTAATAGCACTGAAAATGGTGCTGCAGTTTTCAGCTGAGCCCACAAACTCATCTGAAGTTTTCAGCTGAAAACTTAGTAGAGCCTGAAGAAAAGTTACCACCTTATGTTCTCCCTGGGTGGATGCATGAGCTGCGGGGCAACCACCAGGTTCCACTCCTGAGGTGGCCACAACTCAGAGCAATCCCCTTGCTGCCTGGCACAGTGGGGAAGGCACCTCAGGAGGCACAAAATGATGTGACAAAGCTGACAACGGCTCCAAGAGCTTCATAACACAGGCATAATTCCTGCCCACTGAGTTAGCCATGGGCAATGTCCTTTTCCTTCAGCCCTTACTTTAGGAAATTTATAACAATGTGGCAAAAAGCTTAAAAAAAAAAAAAACAACAACAACAAAACATCACATGGCCCCTTTGAACTCCCCAGTTGGAGTTTAGTCCTGGAGGGAACATTAGGGAAGGCCTTGTGGGACTTCCTGATCTTCTGAAAAATCACTAGTAGCATTTCAAATGCAAGTGACCAATAGCTATGGCTTACAGACCTGATAGGGAAACAAAGCCTTGATCTTTTTTAAATTCAGAGTCTACAAAACCCTGCCACCTTGAAAAGAGCTGATAGCAACACACTCATGCCCCAGCAGAAAGAAAAAGGGAGTTAAACTATTTGGCGGTTGTTTTTGTTGTAAATGCCTCCTTGTACTGATGTGAGGCGGTAGGAAACCAAATTTTGCTGTTTTCTTTTCCTGTAACACAGTGTAACAATAAGGTAAAATGTGCCCTTAGGCAGCTACTCAGCACTCACCAGAAAAGTGCTTTCCTTCTCTGAAAGATTAACTAAAAAAGAACAGCAGGGTCCTGGACATAGCAATGTTATAAGGAACAAAATGCAAGAGAGCAGGTGTTACTGATATTCCATCCAACCCATCTTACTGTGTAAATAAAAACAAAGTCCTCCTAATCTGTCCAAAACAAACAAATTCAAAACAACGGTTGGCATCATATTGACTGGGGAGCTGCAAAACAGTGGGGAAGTCACTGTCCTGCATTAGCTCTACCAGGATGGAAGCTCTTGCTAGAATAATATTTTGAGTGGAAAGTACCTGTCTTCCCATCATCCTGGAGTATCCAAAGTTTCATACGTTGGCAAGGTGAGCTCTGCCAGTAATCAGCTTCTTCCCCTACAAGTTGTGGTTTGGTTTTGCTCCCTAGAGTGAAAGTCATGCTTGGGGAAGAGTGAGAGATCTTATGAGGAAGACACGGCTGAGAAACCAGAGCAAGCTGGGGCTGTCCTCCGCTGCTCTGAAGATGTCCTGCCCACAGCTATACAGGTAAGGCAGTGTTCTAGGAGCCTCTCACTTATCACTGGGAGAAGATGTTGAGAGAGTTACTTGTGGTTCCTGCTGAGACAGAACAACCCTTTGTACTTCTCATTGCATCTTAGTCGTTCTGGCTAGCACTGCCTTTTGCTTCCTTAGTGTCTAGGTGTTTTAAGATCTCAGCAGGATGTTACCTATGTGAGAAATAATGGGAAAACTAAGGTGCTTCCCTACAAAGAAGGTACTTATACCCTATAGGGCCAAGGGAAGCTCACAACCACCCCAAACCATTCCATACCATAATATATACTCTTTTCAGTCCCTCCTGAGCACTCCAGTCAAGTTTAATGCTTTCCCCCATGCTCCTTTACACCTTTCATCCAGGAGAACAGTAACATACGCATCAGGATTGGCTAGAAAGCTTCCCCTCAGAGGAAGAGGAGATATAATTTGTTGAGCATGTGCTCTTGAGTGGATCCTGCTCATTTCTATGGATGGTACTGGGGGAAAAGCACTATGTCTCACCTCTGTCAGGAGGTCCATGATGCCCCTTGGATTAGTTTGTCTATCAGTCTAGTCTGCACCAGCCTGTGCAGTGCATGTCTCTTCCTGTGGTGATGACAACCCCTTGCACAGGTATTTCCCTTATGCTTGCCAAGTGCTCACAGCTGGCCCACTGAATTTGTGGAGGCTGTGTATATAACAAGGTAATGGGAAGAGCCTGGGTATCTTACTCAATGGAGCAAAAGTATCACATGGAGCTGGGTACTCCCCTGTGTTTTTTCAGCTGTGGTCTTAGTAATCTTGACTGGAATAGCTCAAACTTGCTTAAACCCTCCACTACAACCTCCCCAGATTTTAGTGGGGGTGACGACTGGGAAATAGCAGTTGTTCAAACAGTCAAGAATGTCACATTGTTCCCCTCAGGTAGCCTTTACCCTACCTTACCAAATGCAAAAGGGAGCTAGGAATCTTGCAGTTACAGCTGGGAAAACCTGTATAATTCATGGAGTGATTTTTCCAGCTGGGAAGAGCTCGTTGGGGCCCAAGCACACGTAAGAGGCAAGCTTCCTCCCATTGTTTGGGAACCTGAAAGAAACACAAAGCAGAAAGAGATCAAACAGTTCCAGCTAAAACAGATAGTGACCCAGCTGGGGAAAAAATACAAACTCTCTTGAACCTCCCTGCTAAATCTGAACAGACACAAGCATTATTTAGGCTTCAGAAAAGTTCTGTCTCTGTAATCTCCTGCTTGGCCTTTTCTCTGTAGCACTAAAGATATGGCTAGTGCACCCTGCATGAGAATTGCAGGCTAGATCCTCATTAAGATAAATCAGCATAGCTCCACTGAAGGGCCAGCCCAATAACTCCTAATAGAAATAACTTTGCTACTTTTGGCTGTGCATTGGGCCCAGCTACAACCGTCATGGAAACTTTGGAGAACGAGACCCCTGAGGGGCAATTTCTGACCAGGCTGGAACTGGAAAGCCCCAGAAATCGCACATGATCATTTTTCCAGACTGCTTTCTGTTGCTGCTAAAATTGTCTTTTTCAACTACTAATACTCTTCCTCCCACATATCTGCATAATTCCGCTGTCTATACACATGCCCTATGACTCCTCTACTCTTCCTTATCCCACTTCTTAGCTCTTCTTCTCCAGCCCTACTTTTATTTGCTCTCACTTTCTTCACCCCTCATCCTTGGGTGACATTACATTTACATGGGCTTTTCACTGGTGCCTAGAAAGGCCAGGCACCCTCCTCCTATGGCATTTGGGGCACCTAACTGCCCTCAGGCTCCATTGACACAAAAAGTTGGGCCTTAGGGGGTCAGTGAAGCCCTGCAAATGCTGCTAGATAGAAAGCCAGGCTTTCCCCCCAGCAATACCATGAAGCTCTTGCTTGGCTGCAGTTCTTTTAACATGAAAAAACATTAAAGCTCTCAGCATTTACCACTGCCTATGTTATAGTTTATGAAACAAATTTGCCCTGGCCTCTGGTCCCATTTGTACATGCAGCATATGGGATTTTGCTTACCCAGTTTCCTCCTTTCTGAGACATCTCTCAAGGTCTTGACCTGGAACAGGCTGGAGACTGTTGCCCTGTATTAACATATAGCTCTGAAGCAAGCACAGATTTTTTTTGTTGTTGTTGTTTGTTTGTTTGTTTGTTTTGTTTTTCTTTTGACACCCATTCCCATTTGAGTCATTCAGGCGATTTATTTTTGTAACTAGGTCAAAGCAAATCCCCTTTTGTAGTCCCACTCTGCATCTGATGAATGATCTGCTCCAGGGTGGTTGTTTTGTTTTTCTTTTTTTCTTTTTTTTTAACATCCACAAAAGAAATTCTCATAGTAGAGAGAACGTGGTGCTTCCAGAAGGAGAAAGGGGGACCTGCCAAGGTAAACACACAGCACAAGACTCAGCAGTTTGTCATACATTGTTCTTAACAGGCTGAGTTTTTCATTTTTTCTTCTTTTTCCTGGTAATGTTTTTACTCCCACAAAGGAAGGTCTTATTTTGTGCAAAGGGGGCAAGTACAGGCCAATGAATGAGCCAATTGCAGTGTTTTGAACTTAAGGAGCACATGGACCTGAACCTGACTTACGGCAGAGAAATAGATTTCTTCCCTAAATCACTGGGGAATGATCCCTCTGCCCAGAGCAAGGAACACTTCCTAGATAGCCACAAAGACATGACCTTTTTTACACTTAGACTTTGTTTCAGCAATTGAAATTTATTCTCAAATGATGGCTCAACATCAAAAAGCCAAGATTGTTCCAGATAAACACATAAACAGGCAGATGCTAGTTTGAGTAGTATGGAGGGAATCCAGTCTAGCCTGTGAAAAAGAGGCTGCCAGTTCTGCATAATTTTATTGCCCATCTGTTGCCAGTCTACCTGACATTATAAAATACATTGGGAGACACATCTAGATTGGGAGGTGAACAAGGAAGCTTTGGAAAATCATAGGCCGGCATTTTTGCTCAAATGCAGCTCGGATTATATCTATAGGAGCTGCAGCTTTAACATAGCTGTGCGGTAATAAGTTAATGTGAAGTTAGGATATGTTTTACTGGTAGGATGATGGTCTCAATTTGACAGCCACACAAAAACTGGCTGCTGTGTTTTGGCTGGGGTAGAGTAAGTTGGGCAGTTCTGAGCATGGCTTTTGCCATACTGGAACAGTCTTGCACAAAGGCTGAGAGGTTACCCAGAAGCAGAGCTTAAGCACTGCTCAAGCGCAGCTCTGAGCACTGCACTTCACTGGGAATTTACTACCAAGGGACATCTCCACTTGCCAGAGCTATAGGGTAACCAAAGAATGAGAGAATAGAAGTCCAAGGAGATTCTCAGTTATTTCATTGCATAAGTTGATGAAACACAAGCGCTGTATTGACATTGGAAAGAAAAACAAGTAGTGGCTAGAAGAGAAAAACTGCACCATATCACATCAAACATGCCTTCAATCTGAAAATGTTATCAGTAGCTTTGAAATACTGCCTTTAAAAAAGGCAAAACAAAAACAAATTTTCTTTCTTAAAACAGTAACTGTTTAAAAATATGTTCCAAAAGATTCTTCTCTCATGAGTCTGGAGGTCTGACCTAACCAAATTATTAAAACCACACTGGACAGATTACTTATTTCAAATACATGGGATATGCAGTGAGGAGAAGAGGGAAAAAACAAAACAAACACACATTAAGCTAGATGTAGTCTAGAGTTTAGTCTTGTTCTTCACAATGTCTCATTTCCTACTTACTACTTTAGCCAGAACTTTAAACTTCCCTGTGACATTTACCCACTAGCCTGTTCCCCACCCTTACCTCCAGCTAAGCAGAAAATACTGGCTGTTCTCAACCGATGAACACAATTTTTTTTTTCTTATGTTATGACTCCATGGCAAGCATGAATTTCATAGCTTCTTTTTTGGATACTGTCACAAATATTTCGACAGTATCTGTTTTGAAATTTCAGACTAAATGGGGGGAAATTATTACTGGGGGTGCAGCTTGGATGTTGGGGACATATGCACAGCATATTAATGCTAGAAAAGGGCCATGTATTCTTACTGCTGTCAAATTTAATTGTATTTTTCCATTTGTTAAGGCCAGATATTATGTCTTCAGAGCTGAGAAAAACTGAGAGGAACTCCATGATTGTTCTGGGACAAAATACAAAGAATGAAAACATATGGCCTTTCTGATAACACAAATCAAATGGCACAAGGTAAAATAATTAAAGAATGAGGTTTTGCTTGTGTTTTGTTTGTTTGTTTTGCCTGCCCTCAGAACTAACATAATCCTGGTCCTTCATCCAGACATGCTCCAACACACAGAGACTGGAATAGGTCAGATTTTGATGTTCAAGCTATATGGGCTTTTGCCAGCCAAAGTCTGGCACACAAACTTTTGAGTAACTCCTCTCCTCCTTTTTTTTTTTTTAATTCAGTAACTTTAAAGCCTCTAATCATTAAGGCTTCACCACATAAAGCATTTGCATTGCACTTAGGAAATGCAACAGAAAATTCAGTTATCTGGGATCTTAATCAAAAGCCTTTTATTAATAAGCCAACCATCTACTTTGGGAATGGACAATTTGGCACTAATCAAAGTTATATGGGGAAAAAAAAAAAACAGATCCTTCTACTACAGTGGAAACTCAGGATGCTAGCTATACATAAAGAACCCCTTTCTAATCTCACATTCACTGCATGTTCTCATTTCAGAAGGAAAGAGCAGGAGCACCAATGGACACAGAAATGAAGATGCCCCGGTTACTTTGTGCAAGCTGCATCCTACAGCAGTTGAGATGGCAACTCTGGTTTGATGTTGAAAGAGAAAAGCAGGAGCAGTGAGGTGGATGGAGGTCTGTGGAAAGACATGTGCTTGACTACGCATGGCTTCACTCCCAACTCAGAAGTATACATACAGAAATGAAACCCCATGAAAACTCTGGTCAGCATTTCGGCAACATAACCAATAGGGCCTTTTAAATAATATTTGACAAATCTTTCTCTGCTCTGGATTAGGAACTGAACAACATGAACTACTGAAGCTTTTAAGTTAGCGATTTTTGGAGATCTTAAATTTATTTCACCTGGAAAAGACTTACAGGAGACAACAGTACCTGGAGAAGTGCTAAAGAAGGGCAGCAACAGTTGATGGGACAAGCTGCTTCCTCCCTTAGGAGGTTTGAGGTGCAGTCTCTGCTCACACCTACAGCAGCTGCTGTCCTGGGGAGCATCTAACAGAAGAAATAAGGCTGTGAAGCAAAGATCTCCTAAGAGGCCATTCCCAGTTCCACCTCTTGCTTCTGATTCTGCAGCAGTGCTTCTTCTGTGAAGGTCCCTTGACTTCAGCACTGCCCTGTGTAAAACCAGGCTGCAGGACAGACTCACAGCAGCAAGCAGAGCAGGGGCAGTGTGAGTTTTTTGAGACACCTGAAGGTTCATCAGAGACAGTCTCAGGCTCTGGCAGGCTGCTCCTTTAGTCCTTCAGGGGACCGAGCTTGAATTCCCCCTTTTAAGTTAGAGGTTGAGGAGCCCTGGGAGGCTGCCATGGCCACGGGATGGTGCATGCTTGACCTGCTGGGGAAGGCATGGGGGAGAGCAGGGCTCCAAGACTCAAACAAAGAGGCCTTATAACACTCAGGCCATGTTTGGTGATTACCTTCTTGCCCTGTGTTCACCAGTTTCAGACTCAGGCCAGAGGGAGCACATGCAGATGCTTGAGGTCCTGTGGCTGCTCTGATCTCTGTACACCATCTCTTATGGGTACTAACTTTCATGCACATGGGGTAGAAATTTAGACAAATCAGCTCTGCCTCTTGTTCTAAGGCTATTCTACCCATTACACTATAATTTAATTGTAAAATAAGCAACTGCAGTTTAACCCCCCAACTGATCCTTCTTGCTTGGAAACTGAGTCTTGGGAAGTCAGCAGGATCAGGCACGAGTAACAGCTGCCTCCCCTGTGCTCATATCAGCCCCTGAAGTCCACCAACCAGGAAAACAGGACTCAAGATCCAGAATATCCCAGTCCCAGGAACATTGCCTCAATCTGAGTTCTGGTAGCAAGCAACAGCATGAGGTGAAAGAGCTACTCCTAGTTGGAGTAAAAGGCCACACTGGCAGCTTGGCTGCAGTTCATGGGGGGACCGGAGGCAGGCTAGGCCCCTTCTCCCAGTGCTCAGAGCACTTTCAGGGAACTTGAGTAGGGCTGTTAACATCTCAAGAAAGTTTGTGCTGTCTCAGAGTTAGCACCTTGATGGAGGTGCTGTGTTCAGTATTTCAGTTTAGTTTTAGCTGCTGTAGGATTCAGACATACACTGTCTATCTTGCTAGCTAGCTTCACCCAAAGCTAGAGAGATTTATAACTTAATTTTTCTGTGAATAGTCAACATATCTCCATAAATACAGGGGGCTGAAATCCTACATTATCTTACACCCTCCATTACCCCCCAGCTTTGAGACTGTAAGGACTGTGAATCAGTGCAGAACTGGATTAAACTATTCTAAGACTAGCATGATAAACTGATGTTTTTATGACTACATTCCCCTTATATATAGATTTTTAAACTAGAATGAACTAGCTTTTTTACTACAACATTATATGAAATATATTCATTTATTTCCAGAAATATATTTATAACATGTAACATACTGTATAGTTCTCTACTCCAGAATGCATTGTAATACAAGCATAAAATTTAATAAAAAGCATCACTGTTATGAAATAAATTCGCTTCAGCTGTTACTAACAGAACCTATGCTGGAATGTACAATGTACTACACATTTAAAGGCTTCATGTGAGTATGGTGGGTCAAAAAGAACGTTGTTACCCCCAAGCTTTTAAACGACTTTAGCTCTGTAAAGAAGTAGACCTGTTCCTCTGAGACTGCTGCTCTTCTCACAGAAAGCCAGAGGAAGAAGAGAGCCTTTGGAGAGGTTGCCGGTAATGCCTCACAGGGGCATTTGTGTGGGAAAGCTCTGTCTCTAGGACATGCTTCTGGAGTTCCTAGACTTCATTGCAAAGCTGCAGAGCAGGCAGACACTAAGAGGCAACACCTAACACTTGAAGAGGGTGAAGGCACCTGGCACAAGGTGCACAAAGAATTAAGTAGAATTTCTGAAAGTCTGGTTTCATTATCAGATCTGCATGACAGCCCTTTCTACAAAAAGCTAAGACAGGAACCCAACATTTGAGTGACTGATTTGGCAGATGCTCCTAGAGAGAGCTGAGGTAGAGCATTCCTGAGGCCAAGCCAGTATGACATGTCATTCCAGTAATAGGAAGCTAGCAGTACTGACACCAGAGAACACACCTACTCAGAACTACAGGTAGAACAGGAAGCCAGCAAGACCCATCTAAAGGGAGAAAAGGCCTAGGAAGAAGACCAGGGGTTTACCTGGGAACAAAGCAAGGTCAGAAGAGCATTTTGCAGGAGGGAAGACCATGATGCTAAGAGGCAGTCAAACGCACTAGCACACCCTGATGGAGTCAGGAAAAGAGACTCTAAGAAGTGGGGAAAGGCACTCCAGGAAGAAACCCCAGGGCGGGGAACATTTGCCTGAGAGTGCTTCCCAGGGCAACTCAGCCTCCCTGCTTTGCTCATGCCCTTCTCCTGCTGCTAGGCAGAAAGTACCTTAAATACAAAAGTATTCCCAGGCAAGAAAAAAGAGAATTCACTTGGCCTTCTTGCTCCTCCTGCCCCAACTTACACACCTAATGTCCATCAGGAAGATCCAGCTCAGCACAGGGAATAACAGTAACATTCCCTGCAGGGATCTAGTAGATCCCCAAGAGGATGGGCCAGGAGGTCCCCACTACTATGCTGGTTGTACAGCCTTGTCACAGGGATTGTCCTGACTGCTTCCCCATGCACACAAGCAGGTAACCTTTGTAGGTAAATAGGCCTGCTTTAGAGTCATGCAAAGGCTCCAGCAACCATTCCTGAATTTTGTTGGAATAAGACATTAAAAGGCAGTTTCCAAAGATCTCAGTACAACCAAAACTACTTAAATGAAGTATTTGCTATGCCAATTTTTTTTTTCCTTCTTGCATTTGAGAATAGAGGAGTTGTTCTTCAAAATGGAGATAAGCAGTATATTTGAAGGAATTCCCCTACTATTTAGATTAAGGAGTTTCTAGTCAGGCCTGTAAAGACAGCACAACTTTTTCTTCCTCTCAGAAATTCTTACTTCCCTGTAAGGAAAGTTTGTTACTCTGTACTCTGCTTCAAGAAGTTGTCTGCCCTGCACTCTTCAGGGCAGGAGAAATAGGTCCACATACAGCATCACAAGATAGGGGAACACAGTAAAGCTTTCTGCAGCTGGAGCTACATTCAAGTCCTGGCACAAGTGTGATTCCCACCAGCAGTCTCTCGCTCACCCTGGGCAGCCCAAATACCAACACTGCATCGCCCAGATACAAGAGATCAGACAGTTTGCTTTAGTTAGTTTTGAAAGCAACTGCGAGTGCTGTATAACGCATAAAGAGAAATGCTTTTGCAGGTAGCTTAGCCAGGGGCACCACCCAGCAACTCTCCTGTTTTCACACTGCAGCTTCCTAGCAGACCAGGCAACAGCAAGGGCTCCCGGTAGAGAGCAGCAGACACTAACCTCAGAACAGGCAATGTAAGACCACAAGTCAGTATTGGGAAAGATGTCTCAACTGTCAGAGTTATTTTTGCACACACTCCTGTTGCACTCAGGTGTTCCAGGTCAGGTAGAAAGAGCCCCCCAGGGACAAGGTAGGTTTAAGAGCCACTTTATTGCAGAACATGGATTTCATGCATTACAGGGGTCTTCCTTCGCCACAGCACAGCAGCCACAAGCAGCGCACACAGGACAGCCCCAGCAGCCACCGCAGCAACACCCAGAGCCCAGGGGGCTGCTGCGAGCACGGCCACTCCTGCGGGAGGGAGACACCCATGAGGGCCCCTGGCCCTGAGGGGCAGGAACACCCCAGACTCCCTTTCCATGAGAAAGGCTTACACAAGCCTCTGTCCCCAGACAGGGAGGGCAGCAGGCCCACACACTTACCAAGGCCATCCATGGCAGGCCCCCATCTTAGCTGATCCTGCAGGAGAATCACGGGGCCTTCACTGGTGACATGGGAGGCGCCCTGCTGAAGGCCATGTTCAGCACTCCTTTTGCTCCCTACATAACAGCAGGGATTTTAGGGAATGGGACTTGTGGCCTCAAACACTGTGTTAGGCA